GGGGTGGGGGGGAGGGGTTGTTATCACAATGGGGCCTGGCATTCTTAGCCAGTTGTGTCAGACTGCCTTTCGTTAAGTGATGCTTTTCTAATCCTTTCCTGAGTGGGTTTTGTATTCAGCATATTGTAGCCTGTACTTTGTATTAATTGGCCATCTGTTGTCATTAAAAAGTATCTGTAATGTTGCTTTGCTGTGTCCCGATTTAGTGTGTACTGTTTTATTAATTTCTGTTTCTTTGTTTTTTTGTTTTTTGTTTTGAGTCAGGGTAGTCCCAACTGGACTAGAACTGCTATGTACCCCGGGCTGGCCTTGCTCTCACAGAGATCCACCTCCCTTTGTCTTCGAAGTGCTGGGATTAAAGGCATTTACCACCATGCCCAGGTAACCTTTGGTTTTGAAAATGTGTTTGTATGGCTGTTTCTGTTAGCGATGTAGAATCTGTGCAGAGCTGCATTTTAAAATATCTGTTTGCCCCTGTGTGTGCATGTAGTTTATGTACAGAGCTGTCCAGGAAAATTTTACTGCATCGCATGCAGGTAGACAGGAGACACTTATGAGGTTAAGGGTGGGGTACTGAGGTGGGAAAGACTGGTTGTGCTCCAACTAGGGTAGACCTGACAGAATTGGTGTGGGGATGAGTTAAAGAGAGCTCACCCATCCGGTGTGGAGCCAAGAGGTGGAAGAGGATCAGGAGTTTAGTGTAGTTTATGTACAGAGCTGTCCAGGAAAATTTTACTGCATCGCATGCAGGTAGACAGGAGATACTTATGAGGTTAAGGGTGGGGTACTGAGGTGGGATGAGTTAAAGAAAGCTCACCCATCCGGTGTGGAGCCAAGAGGTGGAAGAGGATCAGGAGTTTAAGAATTAAAGTTCATCTTGAACTACACAGCAAGTTTGAGGCCAGTCTGTACTATACGAGACCCTATCTCAACATACATAGAAACACACACACACACAAAATCTCAGAGATTTTGGAGAGTAAATGAATTGTAAATACTACTAAAGGAATAAGGTTGAGAAATGCTTGTGACTAATTAAAAGAAAGATGAGAGGAGTCCAGTGTTCTGCGTCTTGGTACCTGCACCCGGTTCAGCTCCTTCTGGTGTTCCCCCAAACTCCAGATAATTCTTACTATCAAATACAATCTCCATTCCTGGTATCATAGTTTCAAAAATAACAGATAATGAGATGCCCAGGGAGTACAGGACACAGAAACCAGAGAGCAGTGCTTCTATATTGACTGGAATTAGATTGTAATACTTATTTTAAAATTACCAGTTGCTCAAAATTGAATGAAATTTTTTGTACAGTGTTGGCCATCTTAACAAAGAAAATGCACTTTGAAGCATGGAACAAATGTTAATGTGAGGATAGGACGAGGCTTGATTGTGGAACCATCCCTTGAAGAGACCTTAAGTGAGTGCAAGGACTCTGCTCTAAGAAGAAGTAAGATTCCAGCATAGTCTCTCTATAGTCAGTTCCACCAATTTGCACTTAGAATGAAGCTCAAAATGCTGGCAGCAGGGTCCTCAAGTTCTTTCTCATGTCTGTATCTGTGGTGGCTGTTCTTAGGGCTCTGTGCTTGACTTTGGAGCCCTACAGTATCCCCTTTCTCAACTCCTCCTTCTTACACTTCTCACCACCAAATGTGTGGTTCTTTGCACAGAAGCAAAGCAGTACAGATGCTTAAATCTTTCATATAAGATGGAGAAGTATTTGCACCAAATTTATGTGCAGCTTGTTTATTTGGATTTTACTTTTAGTACCTAATACAATGCGACTTTCATGTAGTCTTACCCTATTGTTTCCATAGTATATAGGGTATAGGGCAATAAAAAATTCTGTCAGTAATCAGTATAGTCACATTTTTTTGAAAAAAAGTCTATCTGTGGCTTGTCAAATTCATAGATGTGGAAGCCGTAGACATGGAAGACCGGACGGAGGAGGAGGAGGGGGAGGGGGAGGAAAGGGAGGAGGAGGAGGAGGGGGAGGAGGAGGAGGAGGAAAGAAAGAAGGAAGAAAA